GCCATGTCTAGTGGTGTCTTGCGCTGGTCCAAAACAGCATTCGGATCTGCCTTCTTTTCAAGCAAAGCCTTGACGCACTGAATAAACCCATTGTTCGCCGCCCAGTGCAAAGGTGTCCAACCGTAATTCGTTCGGATCGTGGGGTTGACACCAAGATCGAGTAGGAAGCTCAATTCACCAATATGACCTCCAGCGGCGCATCTGTAAAGTCGACTGACGCCCGATTCATCTCGAACATTTGGATCCGCGCCACAACTACATAGAAACCTTGCTACTATTGCAATTGTTAGATTCGAACTCCGTTGTCAGTTGTGTGATAGAGAGTTCATGTAGCGGGATGTCTTCTTGCTTACCGTCCATATCCCAGGTACAGTCCAATGGTGTAGTCCGATCTTTAGAATCTCTAGCATCCACTTCAGCGCCTGCTTCGACCAATATACGAGCCAGCTCAAGAGAGTTCCTAACTGCTGCGCGATGCAAAAGTGTGTGACCATATATCCCACGCATTCGAACATCCGCTCCAGAACTCAACAGCTCTTTCACGATCGAAGCTTGACACAGTTCCGTCGCAAGAAACAGTGCCGTGATGTGGAACGCGATATCGGTTTCTTTGACGTCAACGCTTCCTGTGCTGACCAAGTTTCGCACGACTTCAGCGTTACCAGAAAATGCCGCCAGTAGAAGCTGCAAATGGGCCCGGAAAGATTCTCGGATAGTGTCACCAAGATCTGCCGTTATAGAACAACCAGTGGTGTTCATACTGAGCGCCGGTTGCCTCAGTGCTCGTTTAAGTTCGCGGTGGTCAGCGAAGATATTGAGCTTGTTGGCCTCGAATCTTTCAGAAGGCCAGTATCCATCCTCGAGGGGTTCCAGGTTCGACATAATCAACCGGCTCACTGCTTCTCGCCCATTCTCCTCTTGCACTGCATATAGAAGCACACAGTGACCTGCTTCGGAAAGAAGGTCGACGGTAACTCCAAGCTTCAAAAGACCTGCAACAAAATCCCAGTGGCTCATCGCAATAGCGACAGTAAGGGGAGGCTGCCAATAATGATCAAGACTGTCGATGCGCTCTTTTCCGTTCCTTTCTGTTGCCAGAAGCGCATCAATTATAGGCATTCAGCCTATAAACGCTGCCAGATGCCAGGGTGACACGCCCGTGGGTCTCAGTTCGACTGTTGACGATTTGCCAGTAGACTGTTGGTACGCTTCATCGGCCGAGTCTAACTCAGACTCTTCCTGGTAGCAGTCATCATTACTCAAAGTCTGGTTCCGTGCGACGGCCAAGGGCCTTTTTGCGTAACGTTGAGTCAATATCTTAGGAATAAAGGGGTACTCCCGTTTATTTGGGCTTCGTCCAAACATCGCGCGATAGAGGAAGTTTCTCTTTCGATTCTCGCAGAGTAACAACCCGAGCCGTTTAGCTGTAGAGTCCTGAGAGTCGCCATTGGACGTCTGGCGCAGATGATGGTCGAAATATCCCGCAGCGTAGCTGACGAACGGATATTTTGCCAGCCATTCATCTGTGAAGGTTGTCGAATTGCTACCTTTCGGGTAAGGCGTTTCCATGCGCAGCGAATTCTGACGGGAAACAGGATGTCCTTGATCAGATTCACTCTCTGCATACTCATATCCTTCCAATTCTTCCAGAGAGAGATATGCAATGCAGGTTTGTGCTATTTGCATTTGACAATCAGGGAAGAGCTGATCTTTTCTGCGACTGAGGAAATCCCGGGCAGTGTCATGCAACAATGTGACAATGTCTGTGTCCTGCGGTGGGATCGTGACCAAACCATGGCAAACTTCTCTGAGAACATCCGGATGATAGATTTCCTCGTCATCAAGCTTTCCACATCCGACCTTGACAGCCAAAGCATGCTGAAGCTCTATCAAGCTCATCGACCGGCCGCTGAATGTGATCCAAAGTAGAACGCTGAGCGCTAGGGTTCTGCTAACCGTGTTAGTGTTGTTGATCCGGCTGAGGATCTGTTCGTACATGCCGTCTAGTTTCGTTGGAAGTGTTTCCACTCGACGGCGAAATTGACCTGGGTTCAGCTCTGAAACTAGAGCTGCCATCTGAAGTTTCGCCAAAAGAAATCTAGAAGACTGTTCAGCACTAATAATGATTGCATCTTAAATATCGGGTTTACCCACATGCCCTCGCAGCGGGTGATGATAACGCTCTTGACGTGGTCCAGTAGCTCCTCTTTACGCTTGGGACGTTTCTTATGACACCATTCCTCAAACCTGTTTTCGATATAAAGTCCAAGGTCGGAAGGGCTGGCACCGAACTCCATCTTTTCAAAGCCCCTTGACAATGTGGTACCATTCTCCAGCGAGCGCGATGTTACTAAAAGTCTCAGCTTGCTCGGCTCTGTGTCGAAAATTTTCAGTAACTGTGATCTGGTCTCCAATGAACCTTCGTCAAGTGCGTCAACGATGACGAAAGTTTGTTGTTTTTCGATGATGTCAAACATGATATCGGACAGTTCTCGCTGTAAAGCCGGGTGCCTTCCTCGGGACCGCTGGCTCCAATGTTTGACTAGGGATTCCGGTAATGGGTTGTCGTCTTCTAGCAGTTGTCCGATGACACTGCCGAGGATTTGCTCGATGGAGTGCTCTTCCTTAAAGTTGAAGTAGACAAATGCAATCTTTGGGGGTCTGTTTTCCTGGTTGGACTGCAAACGCAAAGTTTGCAAGTGACTGATAATGATGGATCTGACTATGTTTAGCGGGAATCTATCTGCAAAGCTTTGCAATGGCAGCAATGCTAACTTACGCTAGTGCTGTTTTACCTGCCCCGGCTTTTGTTGACGAAGATTCAATTAGCCTGAATGTTATCTCCAACAGATTCATCGACTTACGACGACCACAGTACCAAAGTCTGTCTTTGTCTGAGCTTGGACGTAGCCATTCCTTAAACAGATGCGACTCGAGAACCCACTTTCCGGCGTATTCTACGCCCTCTTTTGAAGTCTACTCTTTGATGGTGCTCCCAGGTCAAGATCACGGCGGATTCTCTCGTGTTGCGGCAAAGTCAATGGGCGGTAGCCACTCTCGTATCTCGTCGTGTTCATTTCGTGCTCCAAGGTTGTTCCAAACATAGCTGGGTCCATTGTGCACTCTGGCTCCTCCAGAGTTCGTTTGACTCCCTATGTCGGTCTTACCATCTCCAGGCAACGGTGAGGAACCTGGACCCATGTTTCCTCCGATTGCTCCCTCGGGTTTGGTCTTCCGTCTAGGCGAAATGAAGCTCTTTCGGCGGTGTCGACGGAAAGCTAAGTTTGCCCCAACGACGTGTAAGTGCTTGAAAGAAAAGAACCGGATCTTTTTGCGACAGAAAACTATGGAAAACACATGGATATTCCTAGTAGAATAGGACGGTGAGTAGTGTCAACACCTGCTCGGACGAACTACCCTCGGGTACTCAGCCCCCGATTTGAAGACTTCCAGTGTGCTGCAGGGCTCTCTGTTGTTGGTCACCATTCGATAAATAGCCACGGCATGACTTCCCCATTGGGAATTTCGTACTTTGGTCGCCTCCTGTGTTGAGCATCCCGTCTTGGCAAGTCAGGTGCAGAATGCCGTGTAACCCATTACCGTATGCTTCTGGCTGGTTTTCCATCAGGGATTAATGCCGGCCTGCTTGTCAATCAGTTCATGTGTAAGCAGGACATGCGTTGATCATTCCCGTTTGGGCTCTGACGGAAAATTGGCCCTGCCCTCTTAAGAATGCCTTGCGATCATAAATGACTTCCATCAAAGTACATAGATAAGCCTGCTTTGTGCCCCCAAGGTCTAGTGGAAGTTTTTCACCGAAGCTTTCCACCAAACAAAATTTGTGTGTCTCGTCAAACGTCGTCCTACATTCGCCCCAAGGCTTGCCTTGCCCACCCGCCTCTTCTGAATACGTCCGCCGGGTTTCACGACAAAATCCATCATGACGGACATAGTTGGGGTCGTCACGGGTGTCATTGGACTGGCTGGTGTTTTCAGTAACTGCATCGAGTATCTTGACAGCATCCGAATTTCTCGGAGATTCGGCCAAGACTTCCAGACCGAGCAACTAGCTCTCAACCTCCTCGAACTACGACTTTCTCGCTGGGGAGAAGCTTCCCATGTTTACGACAATCCCCCTCTCGACAACTCCATAGCCAACCAAGCCCAAGTGACGCTGGCAAAACATGCACTGTGTCAGATTCAATCCCTCCTCGAAGACTCCCGACGGCTTGGCGACGCTTACGAGAGTGAAATAATATCGACATCAGAAGAATCAGATATCCTCGTCATCAGCCAAAGATTGCGAACCATGGTGCTACAACGACAGAAAAAAACGAGCACACTCAAACTCACGAAGTGGGCTCTGTATGACAAAACCCATTGCAGTGAGTTAATCGGAAAGACTTCGATGTTGCTCGACCAACTAGAGACGGTTTTTACCAACAAAGACAGCGCATGTAGCTTGGCGGCTGCAGAGATCAGGCAAATTTGTGAGGGTAACCTGGGGGAAAGCAAACACACTCTGAGAGTGGTGCTTGATCTATCCTCGAAGGTCGATAAAGTTCTAGGCGAGATGGCGAAAGATGCGATATCGCAGGAGGGAATCTCTATTGGCTCCATGGTAATAACTGAGCATGCCAGGGTGCACAACAATGACACAATAACGAAAGCTTGGGAAGGAGCTCAAGAGCTTCCATCAAGTCAGAGTAGCATCAAAATTAGGAACTTTCGGGCCGAAGGCAAAGCTCGGGTGGCAAATGGGAAGAGGTACGTCGAGAATGACGACTTTTGGAGTGCCCTGTGATTAGACCTATTCGAATGAAGCCTTTGATTTTCACGAATTAATAAAATAAAGAGCCTCTAGTGTAGTTGCTATAGAAGGCTTTGCAGGAAGGCGAAAAGCGGGAAGATGCTCAGCGAGGTCGTTGGGCTTGTGGCACATGTCTCGCGCTCAAAACTGCAAGGATTATAGGTGACAATTTTGACTTGGGTGATTAACTGGCAAGATGGCCGAGCGGTCTAAGGCGCTAGCTTCAGATGCTAGTCAAGAAATTGGCATGGGTTCGAATCCCACTCTTGTCACGCTTCTTTTGCTTCATTCGGCGATCATATCTTTTTGTTTTGCTTCATTTTGGAATGAAATACGTTTGGTGACGATTTTGATTGAATGAGTTTCGGTACGGCGGCGGTGGTGAGTGGAGGCCCCGCTTTTGCCGGGGCGGGGCCGTGGGACGGATGTTGGAGGAGGAAGGCGCTGCGCCGCAGCTTCCAGCAGTAGGTTCCTTCCACGTTTGAAGCGCAGAAGTGTCATCAGGGGGTACCTTAATTGAAAGTCCTGCTGGCCGCTCTGGTTCGAGTGAAAGTCATGGAGAAGATGAAGGAGAGTTCCGCCGCACGCATACTCGAATTGCAAAGGCCCCGCCGAGAGAAGGCTCGAGGAGACGGCCCGGTTCATTTGACGTATAGCATTGGTCATGCTACGTTTCGACTACCTGATCTTTTTGAATACTGTGATCGGAAGCCTGAAAGTGATACCCATGGGGAATAAGAATACCTGCTTGACAATTGCTGCGAGTGCTCTTTACCAGTGCGATCGTATTTTTGCGCGTATTAGTGGCTTCTTCAGAGTTTCTCATCATCCCTTAGTGGCCCGCTGCCATGACCCATATTGCAAAGTCAGCTCCCAGACATGATCACGGTTACGCTCTAGTTCAAATAAAATGGCCTTCATTTAATGCCTGATCACATCGACTCGAAACCCATAAACAAGTCTACCGCTCAACCTCATCGACACCCCCATCCCCCAGCTCCCTCTCAAACGTCATCTGGATATCCACAACCTGCAACAGCTGTCCGACATCCAGCTTCCGCTTCTTATGCGCCGCCAGGCTCTTCGCCGTGCGCACCACATTCTTGATCTGCCGCCCATTGAGGTTCCCCTCCGCAAGCCTGCCGTACCCCTCCTCGTCCACCTCCACGCCGCCCTCGACGCCCGCCAGGAAGTTCTTCCACACCTTCAACCGACTCTCCTTGGGCAGATCGTCATACTTGAGCGGCACGTGAATCCGGCTCTTGAACGCATCGTCAAACGTCCGCACGCGGTTCGTCGTCATAAACAGAATGCCCGAGTAATACTCTAGCGTGCGCAGGAAAATCGACACAAGGCTGTTGCGCCCCAAATCATGCAGCGAACGCCGCTCGAGGAACACATCCGCCTCGTCGATGAGCAGCACCGCCTTCCACGTCGACGCCAGATCCAGCGTCTGCCCCAGCTTCTCGTCCAGCGCCTCCGCCGACGTGCCCAGATCGCCCGAAGACACAATGTACAGCGGCCGCCGGCTGAACTCGGCCACGCACTCCGCCGTCAGCGTCTTGCCCACACCGGGCGGGCCGTGCAGCACCAGGATCAGGCCCTTGCCCTTCCCCTTGACGATGTCGTCGAACTCGGCCCCAGCAGTTGCGCGCGCCGTGTGCTCCGCCACGAGCGCCTGCACAAGCTCCTTCTGCGTCTCTGGCAGGACGAGCTGCTCGAAGCACTTCGTGTTCCACTCGATGTCGCGGATCTTGTCCACGAAGAAGTCAAAGAAGCGCTTCTCCGCGAAGCTGAACCCGCGCACCGTCGGAGCGGCCAGCAGCGCCTGCTCGTCCGTCAGCGGGGCGAACCTGTCGGCGGGCGTCTCGCGCGGGACGAGGTCCATCTCGTCGCTGTCGAGCGCCTGTTTTCGCTTCTGCCCGGCGGTTTTGGGAAACGCGGTGACGGTGAAGGCGTCGTCGGCTTTGATGCGGTGGTGCGTCTGCGTATCGACCATGACGCGGCCGTCGATGTTGTACCGGCGCATGCGCTCATCCAGCGCGACGCCCTTGTATTCGCGAAAGTTCTGGCCCGCGAGGCCCTCGAAGCGGCGGCCGCGGTGCGTGAGGAGGGCCGTGACGGCCTCGGGCGAGGGGTGGTGCGCGAGCGGCATGGCGTTGAGCGCGGCGACCTCGACAGCGCCCTGGAAGGCGGGGATTTGGAGGTACTCGAAACGGGTACCGAAGTCGTCGCCGTCGAAGTCGACGTACTCGACGCCAAGGCGGAGGCCGGGGCACTGGCCACAGACGTAGTCGTACGAGCGGAGCTTGTAGGCGCGGGCCTGGCTGAGGCGGGTGGCGTAGACGAGGCATCCCGGGCGGAAGATGGTCCAGAGGTACTCGTAGCTGATGAGCCGCTGGCCGAGGAGGTTGGCGGTGTTTTTGATGGTGTCGGAAAAGTGCTCGTCGATGAAGGCGAGGAGGAGAGGGAGGTGGCGGGCGCCTTCAGAGTCGGGGTCGAGGTCGTCACCCGCGGCGGCAAGGTCGTCACGGTAGTGGTAAAGGCTGCGAGGGGGGAAGGCGACGGAGATGTCGGATGTCATGTAGGACTGGCCGGGGTATGTGCCACCGATGACGTCCTTGAGGATGGTCTTGAGCGAGGGAGAGTTGACTTCGAGGGATGTGCGGCAGACGAACTCGTTTTGCATGTTGTACTCGCGGGTGATCTGGCCATGTCAACACCAAGCCTCTGTCTTGAAGGGAATGGATACTTACGCAAAGAGCGTACTTTTCATACCAGTTGGTCTTCTCCTCCGGGAGATCTTCATCGTCCTTGGGCTCGGCGATATACGCGCGGCCCTTCTTGGTCCATCGCTTCTCGAGATGCTTCAGCTCGATCTGCATGGGAGCCTTCTCGAGTTCCTCGCGGCGCTTCTTCTCTTCCTCAGTGAGACTGCCGTTGATCTCTTTCTGATCCTCCTCGTCGATGGGCTCATCGTGGGTGCTTCTGCGGGCGGTTTGCTTGGTGCGAGCCATGGCTGAACGTGCTATTGGACTTGCTGTTCCACGCGCTATTGGACGTGCTGTGGGAAGTGCTGTAGGATGGCGCAAGGGTCTTCGGTACTCTCTAGGAATAGATTCGTTGGTGCAATTCCTTCCCTCGACGAAGTTTGACGAAGACATTCTTATACCAGCGAACGACCTTCTGATCTTGTAGTTGGGAGATCAAGGTAAACAGACTTAAGCCTCAGGGGCTAGGCATAAACGTCCTAGATGCAGGCAACCGTACCCCGCTCGGACGAGCAAAGAGTCACCGGCTGCCGGAACCGCATCAGATACACCATGTCCCAGGTCGATGTGACTCAAAATGATATCAAAAGGATCAACAGAATTCAATATCCGACATCGTTCTTTGGGGTATCTGCCTGTTTCGGGGAGGGCCCTCTGCGGCACGGTCCAGAGACGGGGCTATTGCTGCCTGCGCTGCCTTGGATCCTGCGTGCCGTTCGCCGCGACCTAGCCTGGCGGCCCGGTAGCCTCACCTTTGGCGGCCTAGCCATCGGACGAAAGACGGCTACGGCGAATCAGGGCGTGGAGAAAAGGACATCGCTAGGCAGAACCGGGGCGGGGAGATCGGCTCAGGCGCCGGGGGATGATGATGCCGCTGAGCGAAGGTGGTCTGGACCCTGACGAGATTGCAAACGCCTTTGTCGAGATGAACATACCTGCCGAGGTTTGCTGCACGCCCACAGTTTGAAGTTGATCGTACCCCGTGTTCGCAGACTCCTTCAGAGCGTGCGAATAAGTGATATGATGGGATATCTAAGCGCCACAATGACTAAGCAACGGTCAGCCACATATCAAGGCAGAAGTGTGGCGCAAAGGATGAAATCACAACCAGCAAAACACGCTTACAAGACATAAAAACTCTTTTGTATCTGACTCTAAATACATGCTGGGCTTACCAGCGCACCTCGAACTCGGGTGCTGGGCTTCCTCCTCCTCCAATCACTGAAACGCAATGCAGCGAATGCGAAAATGGTGTATCAGTCGCCATGTGATGTTACTCTATCCCCAAAACTCCGTAATTATATCGTGCTAATTGCGTATATACAGCAAGACAAGTGCTTAACGGCGCGACCGCTCGACAGCGGCGGCGCTCACTTTGCTGACCTTCTCAACGGCGCTGGTCATGGCCAGGCCGACAGGCGTCATCGATCCGTTGGGAGCGGGAGTGTTAGTCCTCGTGGGAGGAGCGGAACGGTTGTGCTGCATGTGAGCCCTGACCAAGTGGCCTGCCGCCAAGGCACTGCAGAGTGACAGCTCACCGGCCAAGACACCAGCAGCGATAACACGGGCGAGGCGGCGGGCGTTCTCGCCGGGGCTCGTGGGGTGGGGGCCACGGACACCAAGCATATCAAGCATGGCGCTCTGGGGCTCAAGGATAGTGCCACCGCCGAGGGTACCGACTTCGAGAGAGGGCATGGAGACGGAGATCTGGAGGGATCCGCGGAGGCTGGGGTCTTGTTAGTAACTAGCAACAAATAGCAGTGGCTGTTTTACTTACTTCTTCATGACAGTAATGCAGTTGGCACTCTCGACAACCTGGGCGGGATCTTGACCGGTGGCAAGGAAGATGGCGGCGACAATGTTGGCAGCATGGGCGTTGAATCCACCAATGGAACCGGCCATGGCGGATCCAATGAGGTTCTTGTTGACGTTGAGCTCGACCAGGGTGTCGACATCGCTCTTGAGCACGCTCTTGACGACATCGCCAGGGATGATAGCCTCGGCGACGACGCTCTTTCCACGTCCGTCGATCCAGTTAATGGCGGCAGCCTTCTTGTCCGTGCAGTAGTTACCAGAAACAGAAACGATGCTCATGTCCTCAAAACCCTCGGAGGCCATGACAGAGAGAGCGTGCTCGACACCCTTGGAAATCATGTTCATGCCCATGGCATCGCCGGTGGTGGTCTTGAAGCGGATGTACAGGTTGGTGCCAGCGAGAGCAGTCTTCATGGACTGCAGACGAGCAAAGTTACTGGTAGAGTTGAACGCCTTCTTCATAGTGGACTGACCAGCCTCAGAGTCAAGCCAGATCTTGGCCGCACCAGCGCGCTCGAGAGTCTCGAAAGCAACACAGGGTCCGCGGGTCATGCCGTCAGCAGTCAGAACAGTAACGGCACCGCCGCCAGAGTTGATAGCCTTGCAGCCACGGCTGGTACTGGCGACCAAGACGCCCTCAGTGGTGGCCATGGGGATGAAGTAGCTCTGACCGTCAATGACGAGAG